GAGTGCTGCGATACGTGAAAGCGATCGACGAAAACTCCCTATAGACAAGGCTAACGTATCTACCGCTATGCTCTAAGGCTGACCCATCCAAAGCTACCTGCACGGGCGGGTAGCTTCGTTTGCCGTTATCTACACGAGAGCGCGTCTTACTCAGCCGCATAAGTAAAAGAGTGTTCACACGTAGATCGCAGGGCTGTGGACGTTTGCAATCATGGCGTTTCGACTGGTGCCCCATGCTTACAAGCATGTGCAGCATGCGCGTGAAGGTAATTTGGCAGGCCTGCAACTGCACCTGCTTACTAACACGAGGAGGAACATGGCGACCGCCAGATTCCCGGTTTACGATCGTCCCGCTGACAAGAGCGTTCACTAGATTTGTATCGCACGTTCAAATCTGTTGCTCAAGGCAGACAATAAATAGGTGGCGATGCGTGAAAGGCGCTATTTCAGTGCTCCACTGCATGTGGTAACCGGCCTTAAAGGAATAATCCAACGAATTATAATCCACAATGTCCTTAAATCACAATCGCACGTTTGTATGTTAAGCCTGGTGGCTGCTGTTTTCTTATAAACGGCCAGCCTGGCAAGCGCTCAGAAAACAGCCATCGGAGAGCCCACGTAACACCCGCCGCAATCGTGACGTGCATTGTCTCAGGACGAGCAGAGCTCCGCCGAGGCTGACCTCGGAAGGATGTCCCAGCGTTTCAGCCACCGAAGCGGTCGGAGGACGCCAGCGATTGGGCCACCACAACTAACCCCAAAGCTCCTTTTAAACGAATTTTGAGTGACGGGTTAATCTTTTGTAATCTGATAGAGGGAAAATAGCGACGTCTGAGTCACACAAAAAAGAGTCTCGGGAAGAAGAAATTTCCTCCTTCCTTTTTCCCTCGTCGTGGCCGAAGGCGAGACAGTTATCGTCACCACTAGTCAAAGTTTCCAGATGGACATTACAAATGAGACGTTGTCTAAACCCACGAGATGGTCTTCGCTAATCGTTTCAGTTTTGAAATTTTTATTTATTGTCTTTTTCAGCAAAAGATGGGTGTATCTAATGTTGTACTTCTCGCTTGATTACGAATAGACCAAGAATTAAGCGCTGCAATTTTGTGGTATTCCTTTAACGCGTTCTCCAAAGAGTGCGCGGCTGAGGCAATGTTGAAACTAAGTTATCCTTGTTCACGCAGTACGAATAAGTTAACGCCGACAAGAATAATGATTATATTTTGTGATTTCCTAATTTCAGCGAGTTTCGTTTCGTCACGATCGTCATTGTCAAAAGTCACGTGACACACTGGCAGTACACGCCGCCTGCTGACATAAAGGCCGTCGGTTCCAATACAATGACCAACGTGCCCATCCCGTCTCAGCCGACCAGCGTACGTATTTGAGCCGGGCTCGATTTCTGCCTCAGGGAGATCGAGATCTGAGCTGCTCGAACTGTGCAAGCGTCGGTACCGATAGCAGACTATTCGTCTCCTAAGAGCGAGCGAAGTGCGGGAATTTCCACGGTGCAATGCGTCACTGATCGGCGAAAGTTTATTCCGTTTCACATTCATTCCGGTCGCATCCAACACATCCATCTTATACAGCCGATAAAGAAGCACCAGTAGAGGATCGTAGAATTGGAAGGTAATCCGTTGCAAGTAACGGATTATTTGTAATCCGTTGCATTTTGGGTCAAATTTGTAATTTCCGCGTTAATCTTTCACTGCATTAATCGTAGTAAAATTTAGTTACGTATATTGATAACGGATGACCTTACTTACTTCTTACTTCTGAAATCACGGATATAATACAGGGACTGGAACAACATGAGAGTCCAATTCAGCAGCACGAAGACAGCAAGTTCAACAAAATACGAAAAGTCTTGAAGAGGCGAATAACCAAAAGGAACACACAATTTGTTGTATGATGGTCACTAGAACCAGTTGAAAACCGTGCGAGGCATATTCAAATAGGCAAAGAACAAAGATGAAGACTACGCCGAGTAGATCTTCCATCGCGTCTTTCTTCTCCCCTGACGGAAAAATCCCTTCGGGTTTATTTGTTTTTAACTTTCTCACCATTTCACGCTTTCCAACTTCTACGATGTCTCCCGCCACCTGGGGCTCTAAACTCCTCAAACACAAAGTTTGGGCCAACCTTCAGGGACCGCACCGATTGGACTATCATGAATGCGACTTCACGCTTTCGTTGCCAGCGTCCAATCGGCGCGCTTCAAGAACCTTCTGCTCCAACTTTGTGTTTGACGGGCTTAAGGCCAGAGCAGAGGCATGAAACGCGGCTCCGGTCCCCCTCGACTGGTGGGTTCTCAGCTCGTGTAGCAGACAAGGCAGCCTCGCCAGAAAGGGTCGCGGTTGTTTCTCTTTGTCTTCGATTTGCGCTACTGTATTCAAGCATGCTCTTAAGACACAACTTAAAAGAGCCCAGCACTATCGTTGGTCAGTTTTTGTCCCCTCCGGGATCTTTTAGCGGAGGTGAACACTGCTACCGAGCATGCGCACCGCTAGCTTCGTCCGCAGAATCCCAAATATCATTTCCGGTCGTCTTGAGCTAGGGGGATGACGGGCGTGGCTGCAGCTTTATCTGTCTTGTGAATATTTCTATTAAAAACAATGTTTTATTTTTACAGGGACTACCGTAGTGCCGCCATTGTTTTTTGAATGAGTGCACGGGAAAAGTAACGTGAAAATAACGTTAAAATAAGGAGTAAAGTAATCCGTTACTTTTAAACCAAAAGTGATGTGTAACTCTAATCCATTACATTTGAGCCGCGGGCGTCTGAAACTGTAATTCATTACATTCTTTTCCTTCAAGTAACAAGTACACGCTTGGATGATCGTCATGGTGCTCTTCGAGTTCAAGCGCTTGCTAAATAAAAAAACACGCCGGACTCACATTTTACTGCTTACGTGTAGGAATGCGAAAGCATTATAGTCCCGCTGGTGAAATCTTTTCGAGTAAAGTTTCTACACGCATTAAAGTTGTTTGTGCCGGTATTATATCCTAGATGTGTCTGTATTCGGTGCATACGGCGCTGCGGCGTTGACATCACGATCCCTCACTGCGGAGGTCCTGCTCCCCCTCAGGAATCACGACTTTCGGAGGAAGCACCTGCGTTGTTGTGCTTTTCTTTGTGTTTTATTTATGAGGCGCGTTCGCTTTGACCTTGAGCGGCGCGAAAGATGGCCATCTTTCGGGCAGAACGCCGGCGCTTTTTCGCGTAATTGGACATATAAGGCTTTTTCTTAATTAAAGCGTCGTAAATTTGGCGTTATTCTGCGAGTGGTTTTAGTCGCGGTTTATTTGAGCCGGAGCACACGCACAAAGACGACGCGAGCAGTGACGATGCAGTTTTGGCCCTGCGTGATTGGCTGCGTCGGTTCGCAGCTCTGAATGCGGTAGCGTTTAGAGCGAAAGCGAGTATACAAAAATAAATTGGCACTTAACCCGAGCTCCATACTCCGTACACATCGTACAAAGGGCAGTCTCTGGAAACAGATTCGAAAGGAAGTCACCACGAAATCCATGATCTGAATGCCGCACGGCTACGAGTTCAAGGAGACAGCTGTCACGCGGAATTCTAACCAAGTACGTCGCGGTGATTGATGTCTCCAGACTGTTTTTTTTTTTATGTATGAGTAGTGTGGCCTCCGATTACACTTCATCTCCATAGCTACTGAAAGAAAAGAAACGGGGCAGGGAAAACGTTCAGTTGCCACGCCTCCAGCTCGAGCTTTCTGCTCTCGGTGAAAGCTTCAGCATCTCGTGATCATCGTGCGTGCATGTGCAGTCAAAGCACGGCGGAAGGCAGGGCGAGCGTGCTGGAGGCCAAAGCAACCGAAAGAGGCGTCCCACCGTTGTCTCCCTGCCAGCTAGTATAACAGAGCTCAAGTAACGTGGAACTTCGGCTGCGAGCCAACTCCCGTGGTCGAAGACATCGATCACCAGTTAACCTCTTGTTTGCTTGCTTGCTCCACGGTACTCAGACAACTTTATACACAGAGACGGACACAAAGAATGGGAAACAAACAAGCAATTGTCTGTCTGCTCTTTCCTTATACCAATCTCGTTTTTTTTTTTTTTTTTTTTTTTTTTGTATTAAGGGCATTTGCCATTTCGCGAAGAAAGCAATCGCTAGACCGTGCTCGGTTGGCGAACGTCAATTCGTTGGGATTCCGAGCAAAATGAAACATCCAGCGCTGAACGAAGTCAGCTCAGGAACCAGCACATCTCCAGCCTTGACATCTTCTTCTTTTTTTTTTTTTTTTACCGTCTGTTTATCGCGAATTATTTATCACCATAATGCTGGCACGATCCTGAACTTAGTAGCATATCAAATATTTTCTCGTTGCTCGTGCGTTCGCCTATCCAGAAGTTGATTTGTGCATTTCTTAACGCAGAACGTGTTTATGGGCTGGATTTCCCGCTAAAAGCGTAACGCTCGACTTTGACGAAAACTTTTTACACAGAGTATGAGGTAACATAAAGGCGACTTTGCTCTAACTGTAGCAGGAAATGAATAATTACTCGATTATGTAGAAACCAAAATTAGCTTTATTAATTATTGCATAATCATAACGAAGTACTGGATTAACAGTGACGCGCTGGAAGACTGCCGCGCGCCGGCGCTCGTGGATTGCAGCACTGCCGTCGCCGAAAAGGGCTCACGGCAGCCGATGCCGTTGCAATGTGCGTCGCCGCTCTCCCTGCATGTTCTTAACTGCTGATAGGAGTGCTCCGTTGATGGCGTGTTATCGCGAGTGGAAGCCATCATCAACCTGACTCAAACACACGTTTTAGAATAATACTGGTTACAACATGAGCACATCGACGTATGCGAACTGTGCATCAATTGAGAAGCCGGTTTTTATATATTTATTAATTTTTATACCCTCAAGCCCAACGAAATTACAGATTTGTGTACATTAGGATACGCCACCGAACAATATAGATGAGTAGGATAAATTTTAGGCAGATTATTCTTCTGATTTGTAGCAATGAAGGTGGGAAGGCAGTTCCAATTTAAGGATGTTTCAGAAATAAATAAGTGATGGAATGCGTTCATTTTACATACAGGTATGCCTGCGTTATAAGAATGATTATAACGGGATGAAACATTGGAAGGCAGTGTGAAGAGTCGTTACCTGAGTGATGTGTTATAAGTATTTATGAAAGAAACAGTCGAGCTACCCTGCTGCGGAAGGCAATACTTGGCAGCAGACTTATGCTGGTTACTTGAAAAATGAGCTGGATAACAATTACAAATTACCAAGCCTCAAATGTAATGGATATCCTTACAAATTACTTTCGCTCAAAAGTAATGGATTACTGTACTCGTTACGCTACATATTAATTTCACGTTACTTTTTTCGTACACCGGTCAAGAGAAGAATAGAAACAATTTTGATATTTTTCAAAAATGTTCTGCAACACTCCATTTCATTTCTCATACGCCCGTATTATGGTAGTCCTTTTAAAAATAAAATATTGTATTTAAGAGAAAGCTGAGAAGGCACCAAAAGCTGCAACCACACTTACCATCCCGCTAGCTTAAAATGATGGTAAAGCCAAATTAAAAAAAATTCAGAAAAAAACAATGCAGGAGATGTAGGCGGGACGCCACAATCCCTACATCACTACTCGTAAGGCGATATCTCGAATGGACGGCCGCATTTTTGACAAAGAGGTCGAGATTGTACCAGGCCAACGAGGCGCGTGACCGTGAATCTATTTTCCTCCTCTCTTCGCTTCGCTCCCTCAAGGCCGCGAGGCACCGAAAACGCGAGGCCGTTCCCTCTCCTTTTTGGAAAAACATGACGTGAACATTTCTGTCAAATGCGCCTCCTTTTCTTGAAAACACGGTCATCCGTTTGAGATACTGCTGTATGAGTGATATGTTGGTGTTTGTAGAATCCCGTTGCACGCTTTTGCCGCGTGTTTTGTAAAACCCAGATTCCGGTTCAGCATCCCTTTAAAACCTCTGGAGTTGTGCAGACAAAGCTAGCGCTGCGCATGCTAAATGGCAGTGTCTACCTCCACTACGAGATTCGAAGCCAAAGAAGCGATCGACAAAAGCTCCCTCAGGTGTTTTGCCTGTTATACACAAGAAAAAAAAAAGCTTGTTTCTAACGTTACAATGTATAGCCAATGCAGAATGCAGGTGTCCGAGATTACCTTGAGGTGTTTCTGTAGATTAGAGTTCGTTGTTCTTGATGATTACAATGCGTGTTTTGGGGGGTAGCAAAGTATACGCAGAAGATCTAGTGTCCGTTCTCTTAATGCCCTCAATTTTGAACATCTAACTAAGAGATGCTAATTGTGACGGCGGACACTCCATGACCGAAAACTCCACCGGTCAGAGAGAAAGTGGCAGTTACGGGTTATCGATTGTTCATCGGCTCTCACTTTTATGCCAATATTCGTGGAGGCCATGAAAGGGGAGGGCATAAAGAGTAAGAGAACCGGTGGCCATCGGACTCTCAAAGCAATAGAGGATCGCACCACTTTTACGCGTTCTCTCTCTCTCTCTGTCAGCTCTCCTTAGACGACCTAACGACCCCCCCCCCCCCTCCTACGGACGGACGATACCAAAGGAGTATCGTCCGTACGTCCGAAGACGATCCTCCTAGCCTCGCGTCGGGCGCTTTTCAGCCGTCCCTCAAGAGCATGCTAGGATGAAGTTGGGCACATCAAAGACAAAGACAATTCGACCCCCTCGCGGGAGGGCTACGTCGTCTGTTACGTGAGTGGTGAACCCGCGAATGAAAGGGGTACAGACCCGCGTTTGACGCCTGCGCAGGGGGCGGGAGTCGTCGAAGAGGTTGGAAAGGGAGAAACGGCGGTAAATTACAAAAACAAAATAAACACTAAGAGCTTTCTCCTACCGGGGAGAAGGGAAACACGACGGAATGCGATGGAGATCCTATTCGGCGTTGTCTTACTTGATCGTTGTCTTTCGTATATTTGTATATGCCCGTTTCACTAGTGGTTCTAGTGACCGGTCATAAAAAAGAGATCATATTTTCTTTTCGGCTCTTCTCCCCTTCCTGATGTTTTCTATTTGGTTGAACTTGCTATCGTTATGCTGCTGAATGTTCTGCTCGAGATGCTCCAGTTACTGTATTAAGCTCCCATTTTTAAAAAGTAACAAGTAATTAAGCAATCCGTTGCCAATATTTTGTAGCGAAATTACATTACAAGGTACTTCCAAAAAAAGTAACGTGACAATTGCAAAATTACTTAAAAAACAACGCATTACAAGTAATTCGTTAATTGTAAAGGATTACTTTTCAAGTGTGCTTGCCAGAGAACAATTAGATTTTATGTTAACGACTTGGAGTGCGACGACGGCTACTAGGAATTAAACGAGCTGAACGATTTTGCACAGCCCTTGGCAGGTTATTTAAATTACAATATCTTGAATCTAAGATAAATGACGCATGCTCAAGGTTCAATCGAATGAGTGTTATATAGTAGGTTAATTTCGAAGAGCAGGTAGCAGGTGAAACGTTTTGTTTTAGGTAATCGAGAATACAATTATAATCTTTTTTTCTACGTAATCAATGTGAGCTTTTCAGAAAATGTAGATATAATGGGCACGCATAGGTATGTAAGACGAGAATCAAGGTAAAGGGTCATTGTTAAGGTAGCAGCAGGCCACAGCGGATTTTTTATGATTTTCTTATCACATTCTATTTAGTAATGTTAAGTTCCATTTGTCATGACTCACATCGATGAAGAATCAAATTGATATCACTTTTAAATTATAAGACATAAAAATCAACATTAATTGCATGGTGAATGAGAGTCATCTGCGAAGACGTAAATTGATAAAGGAACAAAATTTGGCGAATCATTTATGAAGGTGAAAAAAAGGCGGCCTGCACTGAGCCCCTTTAGGTACACCCGGTTTTACTGAAGTAAGCCGAGAGGTACTCTTGTCGGCAGTGGCGAACTTAAACCTATTAGTAAGAGAGCATTTTATCAAGATGATTACATTACTTTTAATGTCGAAAGTATTTAGTTTTAGCAAAACGAATTCGTGCGACGCTTTATGAGATGCTTTGGAGATGTCTAGAAGCGCAGTCTACTTGGATTCCTCTATGAAAAAAGTGTGCCAGTTTTTAGGAAATAATGAAGTCTTCGTCTCACACGAAAATTATTTTAGGAATCCGGGTTGAACAGCGTAGAATAAAGTTTAGACTACCCAAAAACCTACAAAACCTAAGCGCGATATAAGCACAGGGCGGTGTTTAGCGGGATGCTACCACCGTCTTCTCCACGAAAACTGCGTGTCGCAGCGTAAACATTGCTGAAAAAGCATTTCTTTTTCTGTTGCAATGTTTTAAAAACACGTTTTTTATCTAGTCTCTTTAGAAAAGTTCGCCTCATTATTTTTGTTTCAGTGCTTTTTTTTAAACGCCAGGCGTGGCTTAATACGAGTACTCATCATGCTTCGTAATTTTCTCTTCTTTGCAGCCTGTCGTCGGACAAGCGCTGAAGGACGCACAAATTGACAACAGCAACAGATACGTAATGATGAGCTTCACGATGGGCAGTGCTGGTTTCCGTATGCCAGACGCCTGGACGGCTGGAGTCTCTGACGTACCGGTTGTGCACAGTCTCATGTTTTACCCGCAGGTTCGTGTGCGTGCCCCTTGCTGAGCGGGGTAATACTCTTCGTTTGAGAACTTAAGCTCTTAAAACAAATGCTGCCAACATTCTAGCTATCGGCGCCTTCGGAAGTTTAAGGCCAGTTGACGCACTTGCAACCGAGTACGACCGAATGAGACACGACCGGTTTTTGAGCCCCTTACGACCTAGTGCGCTCCTGCGGAGCTAACCCTCAACTCTCACAAGTGTCTTAGCAGCCGGTCTCAGCTCAATCAATTGTAGCCAAACCTAAATGTGTGAATGGGGATTTACTGTTTTCCTCTCAAAATTACGTTCCCACAAAAAGCTATCTTTCACGTAGTCTGAAGAATGAAGCGTACTATGGGGGGGGGGGGGGGGGGGGGGGTGGAAGTGGAAGAGAGCCGGCTGCCAAGCACATGCGCCTTGAGATCCGATGGCCATGCAATGCAACTATGAAGAAAAGAGGCGAAAAAAAGCAAAACACGGGAAAGCGGACCCTAAGGATCACAGAAACGAAATTCGTCATCTTCGCAGGTTTTGAAAAGAGCAAGGAAAACTTTAAAGCAGTATAAAAGGGTGACATAGTGACGTTGGACTCCGTGATGGTATTCGAGTTTTGAGTCTGCTGCGTTCCTGCTAAAACTCAATTCTTGATATTCGGGTTGATTAGTAAATGAAGATTTAACGTCAGGCATTTTATTTTTAATATGTTAAGCTAATGTGAAGAGGCAGTCCCATAAGGCGCAACAACGGCCGTGCAGTCTCTGTCTCGTGCAGGCGACCACATCTTTTGCCGAATGGGAGTGGATGTCCTTTGGAGCGATACTTCCTGGAAAGGAAGGCATGCGCCCCCTCCCCCACCCCAAATGACGTCGCTAGTTGCATCCACGCCGCTCTGCTAGCTAGCGTCAGCATCCCGCCAGCGATTGTCGCATCGTCTCCCAACATCGTGTAGCTCACGGTGACGACAAGATGAATGCGCCTGAGACTTTGCGATGACTCTTGTCGAGGTGCAGCGTGATAGCCGCTTGGGGTGGGTCAGGAATTCACTAACGGTGACGTCAAGCGCAGGGCCTTGTCTTCTATGCGGCATTGGTTGGGACATTGTACAAACTACCCGATCGTTGAGATCATAAAACGAACTGAAATTATCAATGTTTGTGGGCGATGGCGCAATGGCATACATTTAACTATAGGAGTCTTGCTCAGAGTTCGCGGCATTTGATTCTCTTCTGTCGTTTGTTCCTTTAGCCTGTAGCCTGTCTGGCTCGCAACCGAAAAGTCTTGGGTTCGAATGCAGCCTAAATTTTTTTCCACTTGTTCCTTACAGCAAACTAATTACTTTATAAATTTTAATCACTTGAGATGTGCGGCTGCCTTTATTTTACAACACAAGCCATGTTTAATTCAATCTGATTACACGTGTGACGTCACGTTTCACGTGAGGGTTGTGCGTTGCTCGAAATTCCCGCGCGATGTCATGGCGCTGTGACGTCATGACCCTATCGACGAATCAGGATGTTCATATCGCGCAATGAACGCCGGCTTCTTCTGTGACATGAGCTCCTTAAGGACATGGCGTTAACATTTATCAGGAACAGTCGTTATACTGCAGACGACTGCCAGGGAAGCTGCGCTGAGTAATACATACGTTCAGGAATGATTTTCGTTTTTAAACACGGCGAAATGTCGATTTCTAATCAACCTCGTTTCGGACTCCTTTTAGTCTGCCAATCTGAAGAGCCTGTGGCAATAGTTCCTCGAGCCATTTTTGATAACAGACGTTTTACGATTGCTCAACTCGTGGAGTTCACTAGAGTTTTGTGGAGTTCCTGTCAGAAAACTTCACCCGACGATTAACACATAAAACGAGCTATAGCAAAAGTTACGCCTTTCTTTGTAAGATTGATTTGTCCACCCTGATACTGCACCTGCGCACGTGGCGCTGAGTTTTCCGCAGTTTTTGATCAAAAACGGGGATTACCTCCGCACCCCACCTCCCCTATTCACCCGACATTGCCGCGTGTGAGATTTAAATTTTTTTTACACGTGTGCAAAGAGTTCTTTTTATAAACAAAACCGGTTTCCAAATGTGAAAAAGGTAAAGAGAGAAATCAAAACGGCTGAAGCACTGAAAGGTATCAAGATTGACGAAATTAAAAGCTGTCTCGAGCATTCGAAAACAAGCCTTGACAGGCGCATTGTCCGATGTTGAGGGTTCTTTCAAGGTGACTAAAAGTTGACCGTGTCGATTAAAAAGAATAAAAATCGAGTTTATACAAAAAACATTTCGGGTTCATATGAGTTCCCCACCCCTAGTATACTCCGATTCACTTTAAGTTCGATCGCAGCCTACGGTACGATTCAGTGAACGATATTAAGCCGCACCAAAAGTAAATCGTCAAGCTGCCTGAAGCAACCCGTAGCTTTTGTAGGCTTGCTATCACCGGCTAGACTAATCAGGCAGAAAGAAAAAGTAGTATTACGGCGCGTTCCTTGTGCGTGATTAAATAAGTCCGTCATTAAAAGAAAATCTAAAAAAAAGATAAGTGCCGTGACGATACATTGCAAACGGTGCTTTATTTGTTCCGTCGGATTCTGGCAAAGAAACAAAGTCCTCTTATGGTATTGCTTCATGCTTGACGTGATTCGTTCATCGTCGTTCTAATAGGCTGATGCCGCAAGCTGATTGACTACTGACCGGTAAGATGCTTTATATTTACCGTGCCCTACCTTGTTCTACTTGTTAGTGATTAGAGAACGAAACGTTTGTGGAGGCAAATTTAGAAGGACAGTCCATTTTACACGGATTTAGAGTAACGTTCCTGCGGGATATATGGAAATAAAATCTTACTTCAATGCGTGATACTTCTTGCCCTAAGTAAATTTACAGTCTTATATACCCAACCTCCTTTGACATTTAATGCCTCCCGGCGTTCTCTTCATGCGCGTGTGCTAGGTGTACTAAAAAAAGTATTCAAAGTAAACAACATGAAAATCGCCATGGTCTCCGCGGATATTTTATATGAGCGTTATATAGTACAAGTGATAAAACTTTAAACATTCAGACAGATTGTCACCTGCATGGTCAAGGGGAAACGACTCTCAGTACTTCTAATTAATTCCTGTTTCCTCTTGCCCCAATTGTAATAGTTAAGGAGGGCAGCATGCCCTTGACGATTCAGTCTCCCGATTTTTCGACACTCTAACGCTCTAAACAGAATGTTCCAGATACATACGGTAAAACTTCAGGAGGCCAGCGCGGAGTAGCCGACTCACTCGGATGACGAAGAAACGACTGAGACACTATCGCATTAGCCATCTGTCGCGCCTACACCTCAACATCCGCTGCTACTTTCTAGGCGCTCGTTATTTCGATTGTTTTTGGCAAAAGCATATTAAATTTTTTGTTCCCAGACTTAGTCTCGCGGATATTTTTCCATCTGCGACATTTTTGCCGGAGGTGCGGGCTAACTTTTGATACCCCTTCCTCGTGCACCACCGAGGAGTAGTGAATAAAGCCCAGTCTCGAGTCCTGCAGAACCAACGCAGGAAGAAGAGCGAGTCCCCCGAGAAGACAATGCCCGTTTAAGCCGCCGCCGCAAGGTCAGCCGCCAGAATCACATCCATTGGTAAGACAATCAAAGAGTTCGACGAACCCGGAAGCGTTTTTTGAAGAGCTGCCGACTGAGACCCTCCTGCTGTATCTTTCGTCGTGGTCCTGCCCATTGCACCTAGTGCGCCGGTTCCCTTTCCCTGCGAAGCTTTCGAATACGTCGACGACCGGATCCAGCAGTACGAACTAGGGGCACGGCATATCGATGAAAGCCAAAGAACAGTGTTCAAAACATCCACTTCTCGCTGGATGGAAAGACCGGTTTCTGGTTTAAAAACTCATAGAGCGTCAACCACCTTTTGAGAAACACACAAAGAGCAACCACGCCGTGCATTTGTAAGTCAGCAGCATCGGGAACGCACCGAAGAACTACTGCAGGCTAGAACTCAAGGACGGTGTAAAAGCGTTGTCTGCTTCGTGGAAGACGGTCTCCGGTTATTAAACCGCGCGGATCTGGAAACGCAGGAATCGAAGATGTTTAATATATTTATGCTAAAATTAAATGAAAGCATCTTTAGGGGCCTCGTGTGAAACCCGTCTGCTACCGTCGCGGCAATCGGGAAAGAGGCCGCTAACATCGAGTGTGCGCCCCAAGCGCGAGCCCCGTATTACCAGTGACTTCCAAACGTTGCTGCCCCTGCGTTTGGTAGCCTCGATGCCGGACCCTGTGTTCGTTCCGGGCATTCTAGAAGTAATCCACGACGCCATTCGGGAGCAGCACAGAAAATTGTTGCCTGCTTCAAATCGCACAGATTCTCTCTTCCTCGCCGAAGTAGTACAGAGGAAGTAAACGCGCCTTTCAACTGGAGGTTCCCACCACACAGTAACAGCAAGTCAGGAAATACCATCAGTAACGTACGCCGCGATTTCCAAGAGACCACCAGTTCTCCCCGCCAGTACTCGGCGCCGCCTCGACGGGACACGCCAACTCAAGTGTATGTTCGGCGCCAAGACGACCGGGTTCAGTACACTTACTCAAATCCATCTCCTCCAAAGAAGAATGATGTGTGGCGAATGTCCGACCGTCAGACGCTCTGCTACCAGTGGTGGGGGGGAGGGGGGGGGGAGGAAGGAAGCGACCGCATTTACCGCCGTTGTCCCTACCGTCAACTAGCGCTACGCGACTTCCACCCGAACGTACGCATGCCCACGCCACGGTGAACTACCCGGAATATAGACAAGTAGCTTCGAAGACCTCAGTCTCGCCTTACCTGCACGTCGCCGAGGGTTCCTTTCGTTGTCACCACGATGTCCACCTTCACGAATGAGCAGGCAACCTCGTGAGAGCCTCTTGCCCCTCGCCCGTCGTCGGGTAAACTGAGCGCGGCAACCTCTGCAGAGGGTGTTGCCGCCGAGCAACAACGCAAAAACCCTGAAAGATCGTCGAAGG